CAGAGTCCTGGAGACGGCATCTTCCTTAGATGTCAGATTCTGAGGGCCAAGACCATTTACTCCACGAATTCTACAAGTCTCCAGACTGTGAGAATTTAACACACTCAAGTAGTTACTACACAACAGCAATAAAAACATTCTCACCACACCTACGTTTTCAACTGCAGGACAGGTCATCTCGTATCGGCCACTTAGAGTCTGCAAAGGGTCTCCCTGCCATGCTTGCTGTACTTGAAAAATCCACATGTCTCCAAAAGAAGACAAAGCATTCAAAAGTCAGTGAGCAAGCTATACCTTAGTTGTGATCTGTGACCGCCTGCAAGGCCTGCCATGTTTCCTATGATTTGGATGGTTGAAGCAATTTGCAACAAAGTGGGGACCATCGCTCCTGCCACTCATAGCCTGCTGACACTGATTTTACCATTCTAGGCAAACCACCCCATTCCTAGTGTTGGTGCAAAAAGAAACCAACCAACCCATTCTTGCCCTTTCTGAAGTTCTTCCAGACCTTGCTAAGTCAAACAAGCTTTGAGGGAGCGTCCTTCACCCCACTACCCGGGAACGGGGCGGGGCGGGGCGTCCCGGGGGCGGGGCGTCCCGGGGGCGGGGCGTCCCGGGGGCGGGGCGTCCCGGCTGAGAGTTTGGTGAGGCCTAGGCCCTGACTGCAGCTCCGTAGGGGTCGCGCTCACCGCGCTGATCCATGGTGGTGTCGGGGTCGCACTAGCCCTCGAAACCTCGGAGCACTCAGAACTTGCGATCCGGCTGCGCCTCAAGTGCTATGGCCGCCATCGCGGGCTTCAGAACCGTCGGGGCAAAGAGGCCCGGGTGGCTCCTGCGCGGCCTCTGGGACTCGCTCCCTGCCCGCTTCTGCAGCCGAGAGCCCGCCAGGGTCGCGCGGCCAGAGCCGGAGGCGCCGCGGCAGGGGGACGGCATCAGGTCAGCCCCCGGCCATGGGGGGGGGGCCTCCCACTAGGGCCGGAGGGCCGGGGTGCGGGAGAGAAGGCCTCGGCCGGCGCGCCCCGCTGCCCCCTTGAGTCCACCGAGGGCTGGGTCGGAGGTCAGCTCTGACCACGCCACCGCCGACCCCCTCACTGTTTAATCTGACAGTTTAATCTCTGGGGAGGGAATGCCCGCATGCAGCTTTACCGACGTCCCCGCCCGGCGGCGGCTCCTAGCAAGACTTACGGAAAGAATGTTAAATGAGACGACCCTCAACAGAGCGAGTGGTTGCACGTGCGTTCAGTGCCCTCACAACCCTGCTCTGGCTCCAAGGTGGGGCGGGCTTGGCCCAAGGGCTCCGGGATGCTCATCCAGAAGTGCAGGGGTGGGAACAGGTCACTAGGGAGGATAAAAGGCACACCGTCCTGACCTCTGCCTTTCTTGCGCCACATGCCTAAAACCCTTAAAAGCATACGGGCGCACAATCTAGTACTGGGCGATAAAGGTTGCAGGGCTCCTGGCCCCATCTGGGCCTGTCTCTAATGTTTGCCTGGTCAGGGCAAGAGTACAAAAGGAAGCCTAGGGGGCATGTTTCAGTATCTACGTAGGTAAGAGTTACAGATCGAGTTGTCAAATATTAATAAAACGATTTCCCCTCCTACCTGGACAAGTGGTATACCTTCCTAAGACCGGGAAGGCCCCAAACTTTCAGAGTGCCAGCCCTGTGCCTGCAGCTTTCCCTTTACTCCCTACCCTTCCCTCACACCTTCCCCCACCCACACCCCTTATTTACACCCCCCCACACCCGCCTCTGTGAGCTTGCCTACACAGGTCTGTAGACAGCCAGCATGCCTGTAGTCTGTTTCCCTCCTCAGCCCTGCAGACAATAGATCATAAATGCCAGGAATCAGAAGGTAGAAAACCTCCAAGTCAAGTGTTAAAGAAAGACCAGGTTAGGCGCTTGACAGGTGACCTTGACCAACTCAGTCATTCTTCAGCTGTCCCTTTTTGAAGGTGCTCCTCCCAGCAGTAATGTGGCCATGTAGTGAGGTCAGCTCTGAATTGAGTGAGTGCAGTACTGTGCTGGGTACTCTGTATTCAGTATCTCTAACTCTTTTTTTGTTTTTTTTCCCCCACTGCAGCACTTTATTTTCCAAGTACAATGATGTGTTGCTGGGGCCTAATATTCTCACATAACAGTAGAAAATAAAATTTGTCATCTCTTAAAGAATTGAGAATTGCATACAAAAACCTTACATAAATTGAAAGGATGAATTTACAGGTTGAAAGGCAAGCCGTTTCCAACTCAAGACAAATAACAGTCCTGGTGTTCTGGCAGGGAAACAAAGGAACTGGGTCCTAAGGCTCGGGCTCTCCACCCAGTTAAGACTGGCAAGGCAGGAATGACAGTGGGTTCAGAACTCCCACCCACCTCTCCAGGAATCCTGGAAAAGGCAGCTCGATACATTAATACCCTGTATCCCCACACCCAGGCTTCTTGCCATAGGCATGTCCTCATCTGAGCCATGAGGTGACCAAGTCACATGTACTCCAAGTTATGTACAGGCTATTAAACACACACCAAGGGAATGGTTAACTTGAATACAAGGGCAAGATCGCAGTAAGTTCTACAATCCAGAGCTGATAATAGGATGTCCAGGGCCATTCCTCACCTTATCAAGGTCTGAGAGGTGGCAGCCTGTTTGTTCACAGCCACACAGCCAGGAGGCAGGATCTCCAGGAGTGAGAGAGTCCCACTGCTTCAGACTGCCACCTCCCATCTGCATGTCCTCACACTTGGGCTTAGAAGAAAGGGCAGAAAACTGGGTGTGACATTGATCTACTAGGTAGAATTATATGTGAAAATAGAAATGCAGTTTTATGTCATTAACTCAGTCACTAGATGTTTTTTAATTGCTAGAGGGTGCATGCATGTGAGAAAGCAAAAGAGTGAGAAAGAGAACCCCCCCCCAATGGAGTGTGGTCACATGCACATGTGCCCATAGAGCCCTGGGGCTGGGTCAACCATGGTTGAACTTCGGTCAGCCATGTGGGATCTGGCTCCCTTACCCATTACACCACAGGATCAGACCAGTCACCAGTTGTTTTTGTTTTTTTGTTTTACTGAGTGCCTCTTTGGTGTGTGAACCTGACAATCCCTCACATCACTGACCCTCTCATAGTTTACAATGATGCTCTTCAAACAACTCACTGAGGCATTCATAAGGACCGCCATTTGCCTCTGCACTTTTATTAAATGCCCTGGTGGTGACATCAGTCTTAAAGAGATTTCATCTTCAGGTGAGTGGTGTTGATGAAGCTCTAGGTGCAAGGCATCTCATGGTTTAAACCAAGATGGCTACTGAGAGAGTTCAGACTGGTGAGACTTTTAGGAGGCATTATCCATAAGATTGATGAGCAGTTGACAAAGGAAGGGATAGGAATCTAGAGTGACTTTCAGGTTGTGGTTTAGGTAGCGGAGTGGCAGCACTGAGATAAGCAGAAGAGAGGGGCAAGTTTGGGAGTGGAGGGAAGATACCCAAGAAACTCTGAGGCAGAGACATCCAGTAGACACCTGGATGCACATGGAGCTGGGAGCTCTAGAGAGAGGTTCGAACTGGGACCAGAGATTGGGAGTTGTCAGCATAGGGGTAGCAGCTGATGTCAAGGCCATTGGTAGAGTGCCCAGGATGAATGTATGGAGCAAGAAGAGGGGAAAGAATGGAGCTCTGAGGGTCACTGGTTCTTCATTTCCAGGTTAGAAGAAGGCTAGCAACCCATGAAAGAAGCCAAAAAATAAAATACAGGAGAGAAGGAATCTATTTCTAGAGGGAGGGAGCAGCCAAGATGACCAGTAGGTTGGGCGCTTGTACTCAGATTTCCTGTGAGAACTAATTTAGTAGTGCAGGAAGGACAGAAACCCTGTCATGCTGGATTGAAAAGTGAACTTGGTGGACTGGTCCTGTCTAGTGGTTAAGGGAGCCAGATCCTTCATGGCTGACACAGTTCAAATTCAGGCCCCAGGGGCTTAAAAAACACTCTGAGTGAGACCAGCAGTTAGCGTAATGGCTATGTCGCTGGACTCCCATGTAGTCAACCGTGGTTCGCGTCCCGGATCCAGTGGCTTAAAACTCACGCCGGGCGTGTGTGCGTGGGTGCCCAAGATCCCGAGAGGAGAATGGAGGAGAAGGGATTGCGGCGTGGTCATCCCCCCTGGGGGGGTGATTTCTCGCTTTCTGTCTCTCTGTCTGTCTCTGTCTGTCTGGCGAGCGCACGTGCCCTATAGCAAAAAAAAAAAACTCTCAAAAAAAAAAAAAAAAACACTCTGAGTACATGTGTACAAGTGCCCCAAAGCCCAACAGGATGAAGAAATGGAAAAGGAGGGATTGTGGTATTAACCCATGGTGTGTGTGTGTGTGTGCATGTGGGGGGGGTGCTTTCTCTCTCTCTCTCTCTCTCTCTCTCTCTGTCTCTCTTTGGTAAGCACACATGCACACATGCTGTCTAGCAATTAAAAACAAATAAAGAAAAAAGAAAAGTGAACTCAGCAATTTAGAACACTGCGACAGCGTGTGCAATGTGTGGACCGAGGGACTGATAGGACACCGAGGAACAGATATTGCCATGTAACCAGGGTGTTCAGGGCCTGAACCTTTTTACACAATGTTGCCTAAGGCCTTAGAATTTAATTTAAGCATATGTCAGCAATTGGGATGGCAGCTTTTCATATTTGCTACAGCAAGCACGCTCCTTATTTTATTGAAAGGTTTATAAGCCATTTTTTTCACCCCGCCCCCACAAATACGGGTTTTGAAATCTAGAAGCGTATCAGCTGCAGGTAATTTTTGTACTTATGAAAGAACATGCCTATGAGAAATGAAACGATGACTATCACAGCCACCTAAAGACTGCAGCAAAATCTGAAATGGTATTCCACAGCAAATGGTTATTCTTATTCCACTGAAATGAATTCAGTCGTCAAAGTTGTTTTCCAGAAAACTATGGCATGGAGTGCTATTTATGGAGGCTCCAATTTGACTACATAGCTGTAGGAATATCAGATTCCGCAGAGGTGGAAACTGACAGGATACGTATATAAAATGTATAGCAATAATCTGGTGTTTGGCTCATTGCCCATGTCTTACCACAGCAAAAGTAAAACATGTCTGTGTACAGGTAACAAGGTGACAGTCTGGGTTATTTCATTCAGTGTGTGGCATGCCTTCAAATAGTGAACAAGCCCTTTGAATGGCAGCTTTTGGGGAGATGATACATCCAAAAGAGCCCTTTTGCTGTCTGGTTTTGTCTTTTTGTTCTTTGTATATTATTCTATTCACAGACACCACAAATTATTTTGCAGAAATACAAGATATCAGGTTTTTTTTAGTTTTTTCTTTTTTCTCCTTTTTCTTTGCTATAGGATAGTACACTTGCCTGGCAAGAGATGAGAGAGGGAGAGAGAAAGAGAGAAATTACCCCCGGGGGGTGGAGGGGTTGGCCATGCCACAACCTCTTCTCCTCCATTCTCCTCTCAGGATTTGGGGCACTCAAGCACACACGCCTGGCATGATTTTCAAGCCTGCCAGTCCAGGACTCAAACCATGAATTTGGCCACGTGGGATCCAGTCGCCTTAACCTCCATGTCACCTACTGGCCCTAAAAATGATTTTTAAAACACTGTAATATATGCATATTGGCAGCTGCACTATGGTTGCCTTTTCTTTGGGGTGGGCGGAAGGAGATTTGGGTGAATATTTTCACTTGGGGCTCTTTTCTAGCCGGATTCTGAGCAACAGGAAGCAATCAGTTGAAGGCAGTCAGCATTGTCAGATTCCTCTGGCTCCTGCTACTGTCGAACAAAACCTTCGTCCTCTCTGTCTGGGCGGTGATGATTTTGGAACAGCTGTGACTTGCCCTTTCTGTGGAGGTGGCAGTCATGTTTCTGACAGCAAATGTGGAGGGGAAGGGGAAACAAATCAAGGAAAAGAGGGAGGAAAATCAGCCTACGTTTCAGGTAGTCTTTTTCTTGTTTTGACTTAGCTGTAACTCCAGAGAGTTGACAGATCCTCTAAATTGGCACTAAGCACCAGCAGTTCTCTTTTCTTGTGTTTTAAAAATAGCTCGCAAATTAAAAAGGAATTGCAGGGGTCCCGGCTTGTTTTGACTGGTGCATGACCCTGTGATGATAAAATGTTCTTTGTAGGAACATTGTCTTGAGCAATCCAAGGAAGAGGAATGCACTGTCACTTGCAATGCTGAAATCTCTCCAGAATGACATTCTTCATGAAGCTGACAGCAAAGATCTAAAAGTCATTATAATTTCAGGTATACATCTGATGTCTAGCTTTACTGCTCTGTAGTGGCCAGAAGTTTATCAAAATGTCCTGGTTAGCTGAGGCGTCCTCTCACCTAACTGGGCAATTGCTCTGAATCTCCTTTACAAGAACATGAATTACAAAAGACTCTTATGCAGTGGGGACTTGAACCAAACACTAACAGAGATCCCTAGTCAACAAAAATCTGTGTCTTTGCCTTTTCATAGATACTAACATTGCACATTTGGCTATACTGCTTTGCCCATCAAAATCAGACAACTGATTTTTTTACAAACCTTATGAAATAGGTTTAACTACTAATCCTTTTGGTAGATTACCCAGTCAGCTATGTCCCGGATGTTAGGGCATGGTTAGCCTGTCATTTCCATTTATCCCAAGCTTTCAACTATGTCTGTAGTGTTGTCTTTTATTGATTGATTGTTGATTGATTGATTATTTATTTATTTTTGTGTTGTAAGGCGAGTGTACTCACTGGAGAGAGACACAGAACAAGAGAGAGAGAGGAAAAGTGAGAAATCACCCCCGCCAGGGGAGAGGGCCACACCACAGCCCTTTCTCCTTCATTTTCCTCTAAGTATTTTGGGCACTCATACACATCTGCACACACTCTTGGCGTGTTTCTCAAGCCACCAGGTCCAAAACTCAAACGCGCAGTTGGCCACGTGGGATCCAGCCACTGTAACCTCTGCACCACCTACTGGCCTTGTAGTGTCTTCTTTAATGGTGCCAGAAAACCATTATTGTGCCCATGTGTCTCCTTGCACTTTTCCCAATAAGAATTTTACAGAATTTTCTTTTCTTGTTACAGTAGTGGTAGAATTAATAGTAATATTGGTATTTTAAAGCAGCCTCAGGGTATTCTAACACATGATGCCCCGTGATGCTTTGTCTATTTTGCAAATTAGGGACCAGTGTTTCTAGAGGCAGATATTCAGAATGTTATCTTCTTAACTGGTTAAATATAAATTTTTCTATTTTTAATTCTTTATCATTTTCTTTTTTCTTTTCTTTTCTTTTTTTTTTTTTTGTTGTTGTTTTTTTTTGTTTTGTTTTAAGAGGTTTTTGCCTTGGGGCACGTGCACTTGCCAGAGAGTAAGACAGAGACAGTGAGAGGGAAAGTGAGAAATCACTCCTCAGGAGAGATGGCATAATTCATTCTCCTCCATTCTCCTCTTGAGATCTTGGGCACCCTCCCACACATACTTGGTGTGTTTCAAGCTGCCAGATCCGGGACTTGAACCACAGTTGGCCATGTGTGAGTCCAGCAACATAACCACTCTGCCATCTGCTGGCCCCTAAATATAAATTTTTCAACTGTTATATAGCAACAGGAAACAAACCAGAACTAGTAGAATTTAGCAGCCATGTGGGATGTTATGTGAATGTAGCAATGGCAACTACTTTCTTAGTGATACCATTTACTTGTAAAAAGGGAATAATATCATCTGTGAAAACCATCACAATAGAAAGTGTTATCAGTTTATCAGTGGAATGACATTTTGTTGTCAGCAATGACAGCAGCCACATCCTTGGATCTCCCATCTGTAAAATGAAGAGCTCAAATCAGATAGCTGTCCACACTCCTGTCTTCCTGATTCAACCCTATGGCTGGCCACTGCCTACAGACTAAATGGCATGGACACTGCCTAAACATGGTAGCTTTTGAGGGACCTGCACAAGTTGAACACTCAGGCCCAAAAGAGTCCAAAAACCAAAGTGAGAGGCCAGAGGACAAGTCTGCAAGAGGTATCTTCTCTGTGAGTCTCCTTAAAATTGCATAGTTTCATTGGTTTCCACCCTGGGTTTTGTTTGTTTGTTTGTTTGGTTTTTTTTGGAGAGGTTTTCGCTATAGGGTGCATGCGCTCGCCAGCCAGACAGAGAGAGACATAGAGATAGAAAGCGAGAAATCACCCCCCAAGGGGGGATGGTCACGCCACAATCCCTTCTCCTCCATTCTCCTCTCGGGATCTTGGGCACACACGCACACGTGCCCGGCATGAGTTTTAAGCCACCGGGTCCGTGACCCAAACCGCAGTCGACTACTTGTGAGTCCAACAACATAGCCATTACGCTAACTGCTGGTTCCCGCACCCTGGGTTTTCAGGATATGGATGCCTAACCTTGCATTTTCAACACAAAATTCTGACTGTGGGCCTCCATGGCATGGTGATTAAGATAGCTGGATCTAGGTCAAGCAGGTGGCATGGTAGTAAGGCACTGGACTCCCACATGGCCAACCATGGTTTGAGTCTTAGATAGACCCATCTGCTTGGAAATCACTCTAGGTGTAAGATTTGTTTTTAAACTGTACAATGTCTTTTTTTGTATAGTTAACACACTACTGAATGTGTCTTTAGATAGCCCTGTCCTGGTGGTATTTTCAATAGCCACTAACCTTGCCTGGTACAGCATGGGGGTTGTAAATTGGCATGGAAATTTAAAGCAGGTTCTTGTTGGTGCACAGCACAAATTAGTTATGTATGGGGATGGTAGGTTTTTCATCTTCAGTTGTCTCTGATACAGCTTATACGAAATAATTGTTCTGTTAACTGAATACCACTCTGTAATTGAAACACACACAAAAAAGTTGCAGCTGTTTTGTTGACATTCTGAATGCTTCTAAGTAAATACAATTTTTTTATATATAAAAAAAAATCACTCTAGGCACATGTGCATGTATGCCCAAATCCCTAGGGAAGAATGGAAAAGAAGGGATTGCAGTGTGGCCACCCTCCTGGTGGTAGAGGGGAGGATTTCTCACTTTCTCCCTCACTGTCTCTCTCTCATGAGTGTACACATCCTAGGGCAAAAACCTTAATGTAAAAAGAAAAAAAGACCATTGGATCCCACATGGCCAACCGTGTTGTTCAAGTTCCGGATCTGACAACTTGAGAAATATTCCAGGCACGTGTGCATGCTTGCCCAAATCCCAAAAGGGGAATGGAGACAGGATTGCCATGTGGCCATCCTCCATGTGGGGTGTTTTCTCACTTTCCTACTCTCTTTCTCTCTTTGTCTCTCTTTAGTGAGCCATATACCTGCTCACAAATTAAAACAACAACAACAAACAAACAAACAAACATACAAAACTGGACCATCCACTTTCTCTAAGTGCCACAGCATAGATGTGATTATTCGCTAGTTATTTAGTACACAGCAAGTGAGCTGCCCACTTCTGGCTGTTTACATCTTTTTCTTTTCTTTTCTCAATTGGAAACATGCAGCTGAAGGGCCTGTATTTTCTTCTGGACATGATTTAAAGGAACTGACGGAGGAGCAAGGCCATGATTATCATGCAGAAGTATTTCACACCTGCTCTGAGGTAAGCCAAGATGACAAGCAACACTGCAAACCTGAAAGTGACCATTATGGAAAATACTGAACTGGACTTCTAGTTCCGAGTTTTCATCTAAGAGACCTAACCACTATAGAGTTACTGAAGACTCTCAGTCACTAGGGAATCCTTGATCCTGGCAGTTGTTTGGTTTAGCTGTTTAAGAAGTGACCATGATTTGCTGTTGGTTTTGTTATGCACCAAAGAAAAATGTATGATGGCACTTTTAGCGGCCATCTCCAGCACTGTGGGGGCATGCCTTAGTGTACATGTAGGTAAAAGGTAGGAACGCACATCAATCGAGTGGAAGAAACTAAGATCAGTACTTCTTAAAATTTTCAAACTAGGATGGGACCAGCAGATGGTGTCATGGTTACGTCACTGGACACCCACATAGTCAACCATGGTTGGAGTCCCAAACCCGGCTACTTAAAACTCACACCAGCATCTGTGCATGCATGTCCAAAATTCCGAGAGGAGAATGGAGGAGAAGGGATTGCGGCATGGCCATCCCCCCTGGGAGATGATTTCTTGCTTTCTTCTCTCTGTCTCTTTGTCTTCAGCAAGTACACACTCCCTATAGCAAAAATCTCTCTGACAAAAAAATAAATAAACAAAGACAACCATTTATGAAAGAGAGAGAGCATTCAATAATTTTTTAAAGATTACTTTTAAACTCCTTGAATCTACCTTTATAATCACCATTTCCAAGTAGAAAAAGTTAACCTTTTCAGGACCAGCAGTTCGCATAATGGCTATGTCGCTGGACTCCCATGTAGTCGACTGCAGTTTGCATCCCGGACCCAGTGGCTTAAACTCACGCCGGGCTCGTGTGCGTGCGTGCCCAAGATCCCTAGAGGAGAATGGAGGAGAAGGGATTGCTGCATGGCCATCCCCCCTGGGGGGTGATTTCTCGCTTTCTGTCTCTCTGTCTCTGTCTGTCTGGTGGTCGCACATACCCTATAGCAAAAAAAAAAAAAAACCTCTCCAAAAAAAAAAAAAAGTTAACCTTTTCATTTTTAATTCTTTTTTTTCACTATGTGAAGGAGGAAAATTACCAACAGCCACAGAGGAAGAAAAGGTCCAAAAAGCTTTGGATGATTTTTAAATAGATTAAATCTACCCCTGGATTTAAAAAAATTTGAATACAAAATCCAACTTTAAGTAACACTTGCCCATTTAATGAATATTTATTGACCACCTACTACTAGGTTATCAGAAAAGTCATGACACATTTTTGTATAGAAAAACATAGAAAAAAATATGTCATGACTTTTCCAACAACCCAATACAAGCATAATACTTGCAAGGTAGTAGGAAAATATGGGGGGAAATGTGTAATATTTACAAAGTACTAAGATAAATAAGGGGAAAACATATTTCCTCTCAAATGGAAACTGGAAACCTAGTTGAGAAACAATATATAAAATAGTTGCATAACCTGACCCTAAGATCATTTAACCTATTTTTTCATTCATTCACTTATTTATTTGGTCATTTATGATTCAAAAAATATTAATGATATCTTCTGTGCAGATAAGACAAAAGATAGCAGTAGGAGAGGTAAATGGAGGGACCAGCAGATGGCATAATGGTTATGTCATTGGACTCCCATGTAGTCAACTGTGGTTCAAATCCTGGACCTAGTGGCTTAAAATTCACACTGGGCACGTGTGTGCGTGCCCAAAATCCCAAGAGGAGAATAGAGGCGAGGGGATTGCAGCATGACCATCCCCACTGGGGGTTGATTTTTCACTTTCTGTCCCTCTGTATGTCTGGGGAGTGCAAGCACCCTATAACAACAACAACAAAACTCTCCAAAGAAAAAAAGGAAAGAAGAGATGAACGGAAAGGTGATTAAAATACATTCTTGACCATAATTTCTTTTCCTTGCTCTTCCATAAATTCATGAAAGACATCAGATTGTAGTTTTCTAACTTGTTTATTTTTTAATTGTCCAAGAGCTCGTGTGCTCACCAGAGACACAAAGATAGAGAAAAAGAGAGAGAGAGGAGAGGTAGAAAGCACCCCATACTTAAAACTCACACCAGCATCTGTGCATGCATGTCCAAAATTCCGAGAGGAGAATGGAGGAGAAGGGATTGCGGCATGGCCATCCCCCCTGGGAGATGATTTCTTGCTTTCTTCTCTCTGTCTCTTTGTCTTCAGCAAGTACACACTCCCTATAGCAAAAATCTCTCTGACAAAAAAATAAATAAACAAAGACAACCATTTATGAAAGAGAGAGAGCATTCAATAATTTTTTAAAGATTACTTTTAAACTCCTTGAATCTACCTTTATAATCACCATTTCCAAGTAGAAAAAGTTAACCTTTTCAGGACCAGCAGTTCGCATAATGGCTATGTCGCTGGACTCCCATGTAGTCGACTGCAGTTTGCATCCCGGACCCAGTGGCTTAAACTCACGCCGGGCTCGTGTGCGTGCGTGCCCAAGATCCCTAGAGGAGAATGGAGGAGAAGGGATTGCTGCATGGCCATCCCCCCTGGGGGGTGATTTCTCGCTTTCTGTCTCTCTGTCTCTGTCTGTCTGGTGGTCGCACATACCCTATAGCAAAAAAAAAAAAAAACCTCGCCAAAAAAAAAAAAAATTTAACCTTTTCATTTTTAATTCTTTTTTTTCACTATGTGAAGGAGGAAAATTACCAACAGCCACAGAGGAAGAAAAGGTCCAAAAAGCTTTGGATGATTTTTAAATAGATTAAATCTACCCCTGGATTTAAAAAAATTTGAATACAAAATCCAACTTTAAGTAACACTTGCCCATTTAATGAATATTTATTGACCACCTACTACTAGGTTATCAGAAAAGTCATGACACATTTTTGTATAGAAAAACATAGAAAAAAATATGTCATGACTTTTCCAACAACCCAATACAAGCATAATACTTGCAAGGTAGTAGGAAAATATGGGGGGAAATGTGTAATATTTACAAAGTACTAAGATAAATAAGGGGAAAACATATTTCCTCTCAAATGGAAACTGGAAACCTAGTTGAGAAACAATATATAAAATAGTTGCATAACCTGACCCTAAGATCATTTAACCTATTTTTTCATTCATTCACTTATTTATTTGGTCATTTATGATTCAAAAAATATTAATGATATCTTCTGTGCAGATAAGACAAAAGATAGCAGTAGGAGAGGTAAATGGAGGGACCAGCAGATGGCATAATGGTTATGTCATTGGACTCCCATGTAGTCAACTGTGGTTCAAATCCTGGACCTAGTGGCTTAAAATTCACACTGGGCACGTGTGTGCGTGCCCAAAATCCCAAGAGGAGAATAGAGGCGAGGGGATTGCAGCATGACCATCCCCACTGGGGGTTGATAGAAAAACATAGAAAAAAATATGTCATGACTTTTCCAACAACCCAATACAAGCATAATACTTGCAAGGTAGTAGGAAAATATGGGGGGAAATGTGTAATATTTACAAAGTACTAAGATAAATAAGGGGAAAACATATTTCCTCTCAAATGGAAACTGGAAACCTAGTTGAGAAACAATATATAAAATAGTTGCATAACCTGACCCTAAGATCATTTAACCTATTTTTTCATTCATTCACTTATTTATTTGGTCATTTATGATTCAAAAAATATTAATGATATCTTCTGTGCAGATAAGACAAAAGATAGCAGTAGGAGAGGTAAATGGAGGGACCAGCAGATGGCATAATGGTTATGTCATTGGACTCCCATGTAGTCAACTGTGGTTCAAATCCTGGACCTAGTGGCTTAAAATTCACACTGGGCACGTGTGTGCGTGCCCAAAATCCCAAGAGGAGAATAGAGGCGAGGGGATTGCAGCATGACCATCCCCACTGGGGGTTGATTTTTCACTTTCTGTCCCTCTGTATGTCTGGGGAGTGCAAGCACCCTATAACAACAACAACAAAACTCTCCAAAGAAAAAAAGGAAAGAAGAGATGAACGGAAAGGTGATTAAAATACATTCTTGACCATAATTTCTTTTCCTTGCTCTTCCATAAATTCATGAAAGACATCAGATTGTAGTTTTCTAACTTGTTTATTTTTTAATTGTCCAAGAGCTCGTGTGCTCACCAGAGACACAAAGATAGAGAAAAAGAGAGAGAGAGGAGAGGTAGAAAGCACCCCAGTGGGGCATGATCACAATCCTTTCTCTATCTCTCCATCCTGTCAGGATTTAGGCATGCATATACACACACCCTGCATATTTTTCAAGCCACCAGGGCCAGGATTCAAACCACAGTTGGCCAAATAGGATCCAGCTCCTTTAACCACGAGGCCACAGAGCCAGCCCTTTAATTACAAATTAAATATGACAAATAAGGAACATGACTTATTTCCTGGGGAGGTGGAAGCAAGCTAGAGCTAAGACTTAAGGCTTTTTTGTTCCCTACATTAATGATGATTATGTAATCGTCTGTCCATAGACTTGCCAAAGCTTGGCACCTTATAAGTTATTCTTCTACTAATACTCAGTATGTCTGGCTAAAGTAGAAAAGCATCAAAGAGAACCAGTAGAGCCCTTCAGTGCTCCCTCAAGGGTCTGCCCTTATCACTCTGCTTCGGTATCTTCATGGTCTGAGATCCAAACAAGGGGCCACAGGAAAGCCAGGGCTTTTTCAGAAGGTAAAGCCCAGATTAGAAACTTTCAAACCAAGCATGCCACTGGCTCACCAGAAAGGCTCGATGTACAGACAGACCTAACCCTAATGTGAAAGAGGAGTGAAAGCGTATTGATTGCTTTAATACTATTTCCAAGAAAATCAAATCATCTTGGATAAATATGAGCACCATGAACTTGTGCAAGGTTTCAATTTCCAAGTGTAATCAACAGGCAGATTGGAACAGAATGAGCTAGATATTTCATTGTTCAGTAAATGCATGAGAAAATTTGATTTCAGAAAGCAAGATTGCAGTATCTGGATTAGTTCGACATCTAAAAACGACAGCAAATTTGTCGCAGACCACAAGTACTGCATGATAGTTCATTCTTTACAAATCAAGAGTAAATTAAGAACGACGAGAACTTGGTTATAGAAGAGCAAAAGTGACCTTTTGTGTAGCTGAGTCGATGGCTTACACCAGAGACTTGGTCCTTGTCTCCCATCTTGTGTCCTATTGAAGTCTGGAGATGAAAACCCTAACCAGGAGGTTCTTCTTCTTACACCCACCAACGAAATGACAATGGGCCAAGGTCTCTCACTTCGGAAATAAGCTAGATCCTTCAGTACTGCCGCGGAATGAGGTTAAGGCAGAGTTAAACTTATGTCACATTTTAGAGTAGGCAGAGCCCAAAACTAGTTAGTTTAAGTAGCGCAAACCTGATGGGACTACAAAAAGTTTATGAAAAATGGAATTAAAGCACAATTTATTTTAGTGCAGAAAATTTTGAAAACCATGTGTAGTTATTATTATTATTATTATTATTATTATTATTATTATACTCACGTTTCATGAACTTTTTGAAGACCCCACCTTGTAGGAAGTATAACCAATTTCTGACTCTCAAGGGTTTGATTAACCCCAGCTTGTTTATTATCTGGGTTCCTTTTGTCTTTACTGAACTGCTGATATTATTTTTTAATTAGGAAAGTACTAAGAACTAATTATAGGTAATTAGGAAAACCAAAAAAAAAAGGGGGGAAAAATTAATTTCTGGTGCCATACCATAATAATATCACCCAGAGAGAACTATAATTAATATTCTTCTTATTTCATTTTAGTCCTTTTCCATGTATTACCTATTTGTCTAAATAATATATGGATAAGAGTATAACGTATGACTGTATAATAGGGTTAGAGCCTTGAGTGCTCACTATGTGCCAGGTAATACTTCTAGTACTTTAGACATATTAATTGATGTAATTGCTATGAAGTAAGGTTGGTACTATTATGGGGGGTGGGGTCTTTATCTATTTAATTTGCTATAGGGTATGTGTGCTTACTAGAGAGAGACAGAGACAAAGACAGAGAGGGACAGTGAGAAAGCACCCCCAGGGATGCCACACCCCTGGTTTGCCATACCAGTGTCTTCTCCATTCTCCTCTCGGGATCTTGGTCACTCACACACACGTGCCTGGGGTGTTTCTCAAGTGACTGGGTCCAAGACTAGAAATGTACAGTTGGCCATGTGGGACCCAGCCACCTTAACCACCACCAGCTGGCCCATGAGGGGTCTTCAAAAAGTTTACAGAAAATGCATATTATAAAAAAACTATGCATAGATTTCCTTTTTTTTTTTTTTGCCACAAAAATTAACTAGTGCTTTCATTCCATTTTCTACAAACTTTTTGAAGTTTCCTCATATTATACTCATTTCAGATATGAAAACTGAAGTGTTAAGTGACTTGTCCGGGATTAAGCAGTAAGTAAGTGACAGACTGGGGACAGACCCCAGCAGCCAGCCCTAGCATACCACATAAGCTCCAGACCACCATGGTAGTATTTGTCTTGGAAAATTCCATTTTAATGAGACTACAACATTCTGTTAAATGGATATAGTTTAGTTTACATAGCCATTTCCTTATTTTTGTATATTTATATTATTTTTAGTTTTTTACTTGCTCTTTTACAGTAATGATTTGGCAAGTACCTTTAACCATAGAGCTCTTTACCTATTTTTGATTGTTTCTTAGTAGTAGAATTCCTGATTAGCCCCATAGCCATGCGATTAAGGGAGCCAGACCCCACATAGCCAAGGGTTGAACCCCAACCCTTACCACTCAGAGAACACCTCAGGCACATGTGCAAGCATGCCAACGTGCCAACGAGATGGCGAAATGGAGAAAGAACTCCAGTGTGACCACACCCATTGGAGAGAGCTCTCTTTGTCTCCCTCTGGCAAACACACATACTTTCCAGCCATTAAAAAGCAGAGGTAGAATTCCTAAATCAAAAATACAGGTATTTTGAATGTTGTGGAATATATTACCGTACACCTAATTCTCTTCTCCTGGGTTTTATGACATCTTTGCCCTTCATAGAAGGCAGCACATGAAGCATTTGATCCCAGTCAATTGGCTCTTTTAGGAAGCAGTGGAGGAGGGACTTCGAAATCATGTCTGAAAATCTTTTTTTCTCTAATCTCTTAGATCTCACTTCTGTAGAAGTCTTCTAGAAATAGTGACGCATGATTGTGGTATTTGCATTTCTAGAATTCCACTTAAAGATGTTAAAAAAGGACAGACTATAGAAGTTAACTATTTAGTGACTTGAAAAATAATAGATGATCATTTGTGCCTGTGCGCTGAGTTCTGAGTTTATTTAATGACACAAAATACAAATGATAACTTAATAATCCGAGTCTCTGGGTTGGAATATTTTCACTAACACTTTTGGCATTAACAGACTGCCCTACGTTGGGACCTCACTAACATTTCTTAATAGTAGGGTGACTTCTCTATAAGGGTTGCTTTGGATGGTGAACGATTTATGTGGGATACCTATTTATTTATTTTTGAGAGAGAGAAAGAGAGAGAGGAATTTTTGCTATAGGGCCCATGTACTCATGAGAGAAACAGAGAGCCAGAAAGCAAGAACAGCCCCTGCCCCCCGAGGATGGCTAAGCTTCAATTCTCTCTCCTCCATTCTCCTCTGGGGATTTTGGGCACACATGCACATGCACCCGACGTGAGTTTCAAGCTACCAGGTACTAGATTCGAACTGCCGTTGGCTACATGGTAGTCCAGCACCTTAACTGCTATGCTACCTGCCAGCCCTAGTGTGAGATTTTCTTTTTTTTTTTTTAGAGGTTTTCACTATAGGGCGCGTGCGCTCGCCAGACAGACAGAGAGAGAGAGACAGAGAGACAGAAAGCGAGAAATCACCCTCCAGGAGGGATGGCCACACCGCAATCCCTTCTCCTCCATTCTCCTCTCAGGATCTTGGGCACGCACGCACACGCGCCCGGAGTGAGTTTTAAGCCACCGGGTCCGGGACACGAACCACGGTCGACTACGTAGGAGTCCAGCGACACAGCCATTACGCTAACTGCTGGTTCCCTAGTGTGAAATATTTTAAAACATTCCTAACTTCAACTGATTTTCCTAAGTAGCTTCATTTCACAAGGTAAAAGGACAATACACAGAACCAACACAAAATGTGTCCTTTCTTTGTAGCGAGACTTGAGAAGTTCTTGTGAGTTCTTCCCCTTGTTACTCCAGTCCACTGAGACTGAATCCTTACTACTTTAGGGTGCATGAACCCCTAAGTCAGTTTTGGGTACAACTTTAAGTATGTGCTTTCTTAGGGAAGAGGGTCATAGCATTGATTAGATTCTCAAAAGGGGGCCACCCTCTCCCTAAAAATAAAAAGCCACTAGTATATGATGCCATAGCCTTAAATGCATACTCTGTTATTTTACAATAAAGCTAACAAATATCAAATGTTTATGAATATAAAAGATAAATTTCTTAGGCAAAAATCTCCAAATCAATGAAGGTCATTTTTCTTTGAATTGCTGCCTTGGGGAAAGAAACCCAGATTTAGTTCCTGTTCTCCCTCCCTCCCTGCCAAGGTTCAAAGAGCAACAATTTAGAACTTGAAGTTACCATAGCAACACAATCTGTTTAGAGTGTCATGAAAAAATAAGCTGCAAAAATAAGTTGAAGTTCTGGAGATTTATGGGGGATGGAGGGCCCTCTGAGGCATTGTCACCTCTCCTCTTTGGGCCACTGGCTCTGTTTTAGGAATTTTGTTTATTTTGATGACAGCAGGGTGTCCCCCACCCCCACCCCAAGCCTCATTTAAATAGCATTAAGAGTATTCATGGTGGTAATTTGAGAAGTAATTACTAAAGAAATTGTCTTCAAGTCTTTTTCCCACCTTAATTTTTCAAGGAAGCACCAAACACCAGCGTCTGACTTTTAACACAAGGACTGTCTGCAGGCAGGGTGGAAACAGAACTACCCGGGAAGGGTTGTTTGCTCCCTAGAGACAGAAGTCTGCCCTGTTCTTCAGTGGGGTTTCTGGGGAGCAGTGGGTGGAGACTGTCACCCCATAGAGGAGGGTCAGACCCTGCAGCCACCTCTGACCTGTCACACAGCCTTAGGTGAGCGGCTTCCTTCCTGAGCTTGGGTTAGGGTCCTTGCTGCAGGCTAGAGGTCCCTCCTCCCCGGAATCTCAGGAAGACGTGATCATGCGGCCTGCTGCAGGGCACCCACGAGAATACCAGCGTTTTCTGTGCCTTCTTTCATACAATCTGCTGAACTGACCATACAGAAAATGGTCTGAAAACAGTAAAGTCATGGAGACTGGCAGGTGGTGTGGTGGTTAAAGGCGCTGGACTCCCACATGGCTGACCATGGTTCAAGTCCCGAACCTGGTGGCTTGCTTTCTCACTTTCCCTTTCTCTCTTTCTCTGTCTCTCTCTGATCAAGTTGGAAAATAATAATAATAAATAAAGTTAAATAAAATAATTCTTAAAAATATAACAGTAAAGTCTCCTAACCTCATAGGTGTTAATATGGATGGAAGTAAAGTGGGTGTTTTTGCTCCCGCAGGTCATGATGCTGATCCAGAACCATCCAGTCCCCGTCATTGCCATGGTCAATGGCTTGGCCACAGCAGCCGGTTGTCAGCTGGTGGCCAGCTGTGACATTGCTGTGGCGAGCGACAAGTCATCTTTTGCCACTCCTGGGGTGAACGTAGGCCTCTTCTGTTCCACCCCCGGGGTTGCCTTGGGAACAGCGGTGCCTAGCAAGGTAACTTAGCTTCCTTCAGAGCCTTCTCTAGAGTTTATCCTCCAGTGACTGCAATGTTTCAGAATAGCTTGTTAAAAACGCCATTCATATCAGGACATTCTGCTCAGGGCAGACCGGCAGCCATCCCTGTGCCCCTCCTAACATGTGGGAGGGAGAAGCCACAGCCTGTTCCTCACTACATTTCAATCGTGCATGCCCTCTGTACAGCTCACTAGGTGTTTCTGTTTATTTTCGTAAAGGGATATATTTTTGTAATCTTACTTGAAATGCGGTTGAGACTGTTTTGTGGTGCTGAATGGGTGCCCATGAGATATAATGGCTTGCTGACATAATGGCAGTTATCAAGAGGCTGGGATAGGAGTGGCACTGGCTTACTGTGTGTCGACCACCTGTCTCGTTCTAGGAAGGATTTAAAGAGGTTGATTTACCAAGTTCTGGGTTTACATAGCCTGGCGTGCTATGCTGAATCTGCCCAAGAGAGAGCCACGTACACAATAGTTTTGTCATTGCGTACACAACGAAGTTCATTTTCACCACACAGCTGTCTTCCTTCCTATAATACCATACAATGTTTTCTTTAGTTAAAACATTATTTCTTCCATGAGAGAGAATAAGAGAGACAGATACCCTCAGCAGGAGCTTCACACTACAATCCACCCCCATCCGCAGCCAACCCAGTTCATAGACTCAACACGATTGCACTTGGCACGCACAGGGAGACTTCCGGTCTCGAACCCAGGACTTCCCATGTGGGTCCAACTTTGCAGAATGTTCTGTTAATGCTGCACCACTGCAGCTGGCCCATAAAATGATGTTTACCACACAGTCCTTAAGTGTAGACCAACAAAATCTTTTCAGAAAAAGTGCATCCTCATTCTCTACTGGAAATCCGTAGGAAGAGGGCAAAGTCCTACCATGGCAAGTAAGGAACTTAAGCTACTTTCTAGAATATATTATCTATTTTAGCATCAACTGCGAACATTAGCTGTTGCCCACATGCCTGAGGCACAAAAGAAATGAGGCTCAAGGGGAATCGAGGAGCAGGACCAAGAAGTTTAGGGAAGTACTGCCTCCTTTTACACGTCTCCTGATTAGTTTTTGCAGAAATGTACGTTTGCAAGGAAATTCTGAAGACTGACACCTGCAAACACACATACTTATGTGGGCTCCATGCTGCACAGGGTGACAGCTTGCTCACATGTCATCAGACTGAGGGGCTGTTTTGGATTCTGTCAAAATAGACGTTTACCTGAAATGTATAGACAATCGGAAAATGTATAAAGCCTTACTTTGTGCCAGTAGATTAAATGAAATTGTATTGCAAACCAACTGTCAGAGCTTATTAATAAACTGCCATATAGCTGTGAAAATCAAGTCACAGGGCTTTTGCAAAGTAAAAGGTGGCCATATTGGTTAGTCTGCCCAGTCGCTACTTCTGCAACCACATGGCATGCTAGAGAGTTCCACAGGTTAAGGCATTTGAAACTTTCATATCAGCCTTACTGTCAGAATAAGAATCTATTCTTTAACAAACTTTCGAAGTCAAGTGGTATTAAAATGTATTTTTAGTAACTTAATACCATATCATATGTATCAAATTCTAAATTTATTTTAGGGGAGAAAGCTGGGCAAATGGGCTGGCCTCATAGTATAGCAGTTAAGCACTGTACATAGAGAATTGGATCCTACATGGCTGACCATGGTTTAAGTCTGACCCTAGAAGCTTGAAAAACACGCTGGGAATACGTACATGTATGCCCAGAGTCCTGACGGGATGGAGAAGTGGGAGAAAAGGATTGCAGCATGACCACACCCCACTGGGGGTTCTCTCTCTCTCTCTCTCTCTCTCTCTTTCTCTCTCTCGGGCATGCTTTCTCTCTCTCTCTCTTTCTGTGATAAGTGCACATGCCCTCTGGAAAGTCAAAAATGGAAGAAAGAAAGAGAAAGAGAATGAAAAGGAAATGTGACCCAAAAAGACCTCAAGTTCCAAGGAAGCCCAGTTCTTAGAAACCAGTTCTTGTGTAATTGTCAGTTTGACAGATTAAGAGGCAGGGACTTTGTAAGAACCAAAGTAAGCTTTCACCTCCCAAAGACAGTTTGTCTCAGAAGATGGGAAAGAATCTCCTGTGTTGTCCTACTCAGGCTCCCGCTCTCTGGTCGCACATACTGGCCCGCAGAAGCCTTCTGCATCGCTCAGTCAGTGGTAGCAACCTTGTTTATGAGACCTCTGAGCTTTTCCCTAACTAGCTGTGGAAAGGGCATCAGCGTTCCCTCCGTGGATGTCCTTACATGTTGGGCCCATTAATGCTGAGCCACTTGGAGGCATGATCCAGGAAGATGGTGTGGGATCAACGCTAATGAACGGAAATCACAGCGCTGATAAAGGGAATTTTTGTAGGAGGAAAAGGCTATCAGAGCGTAAGGCCTTTGTGAGATTTCTGGATCTGTTGATCTGGTCTGCGTGGCCTGGCCTAGGAGAAAAACTTGGAATTCATACAAATATAAACCTGATCGAAAACTCCTGCCTGTCGTCTTTGTTCAACTGCTCTTACACGAGCACATCCACACACAGGCCCATCGAGTACGTGGGTGGTGGCCCCGTATGCAGCACCGAGGAAGGAAAGCAGGAGCTTTTGCAAACTGGCCTGGGCTGGAAGCTCCGGCCCTTTCAGACCAGCTAAAACAATATGTGTGTGTCACTAGTGCCCTCTGCTGGTCACCACAGTTCCCTGCATGACTGTGATAGAAACCTAGTCTGTAATTTGTCCACTGGGGACAGAAAGGATGGAGTCCATCTCCGTGTTCATGCCAGACTGAACCTGGGCATGAATAATTTTCCCTGTCTGTGAAGTGCTTCTCTGCTTTGGTGTGAATTAAATAATGCATCTTCATTGCACCGTATAAACGCCTTGCCTGGTGCAGCTGCTCCCAGCCCCACTCAGAGCTGGCCTTGCTCAGAGAGGCAAAGCCAGGACCTCAGGCAATTGTTACCACGGGGGAGCCCATGAAAAATCAGACTCCCTTCTTCCCACACCCGTAGTCTCTCCATGTAGGAATACTTGCTTCCACCCGTTTTAACTTTCTACATCTGTAGAATCTGAATTCCTAATGGTCCAATTAGAACAGAATAGAGTTTCCAAGCTGGAAAGAG